ATTAATTAATTACTCATTGATCAAATATATTAACTAGCCATCTCAAGGTATTCTGTCATTATCCATCCCCTTAAAAATGATCTTGTTCAAGTTCGAGTAAGAATTGATAGATTGATGTGTTTCTTTGTTGGTTAATGATTTGCATGATTGTTATCATCACCATTTTATTGTGATAACCTGGAAGGCAAGTTATTTAGATGCATCTTTTACCCCTCATTTCTCTTGAGATAATCTAGTCCAGTGCTTCTAACGGAGAGAGATAATATTTTAATTGAAGGCAACATCATTTTGTTCATTGAAAAAACCCTCCATTACATAATCATGTGAAGGTACAAAGCTACTACCTGCTAAGACATTCTATGGAGGAATCTGAGGGCTAATGCTAATATTGTTTTAAATTGTGGGCGACAATTGCCTTGTATGTGGCTGATGCTTTTGGATGTCGAGATTGAGGGAGACAATTGGGAAAGAATGATCTTAAATAATGGAGGAATTGAGACTTGCTGAGTGAGTTGGATTTTGAGTGGGAATAGTAGTAATACTTGGTATAGCAACAAAATCTCGAAGGTGGCAGATGATGCTAGCAAGACTTCTAGAAGGCATAAGAGGAAATGATGCGAGCATGGAAAGGATGTTGCGTGTTTGGTGAAGATGATGAAGAATACGAGTTGAATGATTGGTGCTAGCCATCTTTGATGAAGATAGTGAGCCGGCAGATGAATTTTGGGTTATTGCAATGGAAAATGTGATGATAGTGTAGATGATGGTTGTAAAGAAGGAATTTGGATTTAGCGGTGCTGGATCACGCGGAGTGGAGATTGTTGTGTGAAAGAGAAGGTACAACACGAGGATTATTGATACAATTTTATTTTTTAGATTGTGATGAATAAGAATTTGATGATGTTGATAAAGATTAGATGGAGAGAGAATAGAAACATAGAGATTAAGGAGAAACTTCACATTCTTTTTCAATCTCTCATAATGCTTCCAAATGGAGCTATCTATAGACGTGCAGAATTGCTTATTTATTATTAACTAACTAATTAACTACTTTTGTTAATCTAATACAAAAAATAGCTGTCTTATTGTATCCTATCATATGAAGCTGTATTGGTTGGGATTTTATGTTGTTCAATGGGCCCACAATGCAACTATCTTATTCACTTCAGATTTGGGAGGTGTTTTTTATAGTAGCTTGATAAGGATGTTTTTACAAAGTCTTAGCCAAGAAATTCATTCTTGGGTTGAAAAATAAAGAATAATTCTAGCCAATCTTGTATTAAAACAAAAAAAACAAAAGTTTATTTAGTGCTTTTGAAGATTGGTCCACTATTTGATAAGATTTGATGGGTGACACTGA